CTGAGGGCTGGCAGCAAGATAAATTGAGTATCTCCCAGGTCTGTGTGTTCCTTAAAGTCATTTTTTTAAGTCATCCCCGAAGTTTTCTTTAGCTCTGTCTTCCTGACGGTTTTTGTCATTTGTGGCAAAGCAACAAAAGATTCTCCTCCTCCAAAATCTGTGCCATGTTTTAAAATACTCTCCAGTCCCTCCTGGTGAACTTTTCTGAATTCATCCTGCTCATCCTTGCAAAGCATTATGCCAAATTATTTGCTAATTGCATTATGCATTTTTCAACCTTTTCAGGAATATGAAGCCATCTATCTAGCAAAATTAACCATCCAGATGATGTCACCACTGCAGCTGGAGAGATCCCTCTCTGTTCCACCTGGCAATACAGGTGAGAAGCCCCTCCTGTCGTGTGTGAGGTGATTTTTACGCTGCCCTAAGTAAACCTTTAGGAGCAGAATAAATTGGGATGGCTGCAGTTGGTGTGCAGGCAGTGTCCAAACTTCAATATGTTTAAATATTCTGTTCTCCAACGACTGAACTTCCCTCTTCTCCCTTTTGCAGGAAGTTTAAAGAGGATGCACGAGGAGGACGAAGAACTTGGAACCATGCAAGTGGCAGCAGCACAGAATGGATGAGAGCTGAGGACAAGCACTGTTTGTATTATGAATTCCTGCCAAGAAAGGTGAAGAAAACTAGGGGAAAAAAATGACTTAATAATGCAAAACAATGAACACACATTGCTTCTTTTCAATTACATGTTGCTTTCAGATGTAAATCTGCCTCTGCAACACACTAAGCATCATTTTTAAGATGTTGGACTTCTTGAATGAATAGATGGCACTGATTGTTTTACTCCTTTTTTACACTTTACAGTTTTATTCTAAACCAAGATTTTTGGACTTGCAAAGAGGTATTATTGCAATAATGCACTTTTCATACTTGAAATTTCTTTATTTGTATGATATAAAGTTATTACTTTAAACAAAATGCAAGCGGGGGGGGGATTTGTTTATAAAGTTATTTGTGTAATTTATAACAAGAGACTTTAGTAAAGAAAAGGTTTGCTAAAACTCACCTTGTTCTCAGTATGTCTCGTGGTGGAAACGTGCTTTAGGAGCTGCACAATGTGCTGCTGCTGGCAGTGAGCTGAGCAGTGTTTAACCTCATTGTACACTGAATTATCTTGAGTCTGGCACTCTGGGACCAATTGAAGACTGTTCTGAAAATCTCCCTGTTTTATGGAAGTGAAAGTTGAACAGGGTACTGATGACTTAATAAAATAATCATGTGTTGGGGTAGGACAGAGGGCAGCCAGTTTGACACACATCAAGGCTGAGTTCTTTTAGCCAGCATTAAAAAGCTGCTTGTAAATGAGTTAAGGGTTAATTCAAGTTGAACAAACATCTTCAAACTCGTACTGAAGGTGTAGTTGCTGTTTATAAGGCGACAGCTGCATTATTTGAGGTAAAAACCTGGGGTGCTGTTTGAAAACCGAGGCCCGAAGCGCTGCCTGTTATGGGATCAAGACCTCAAGGATTCACCTCAGGTCTGGTGAAACACGGGAGTCAGGTAAGGAAACACTTGTTGGTGCTTTGAAGTTTCCAAATTGGGAATTGTCAGGGTGGTTTGTGCAGCTTTAACTCTTCTCCTGTCCCAGCAGCACAGAGGTTGTGCAAGTCCCAGTTCTGCATCTGCTTTATTTCCCGATGTTTCTTGCATAAAAGCTGGGAATGGAATGACGGTTCCTTGGGAGCGCTGTGGGGACTGAGCACTTCCCAAACCTGTTAGAAAATCCTGTGGATTTGGGAAATCTGAGCTTGTACCTGGACTGTGTTTTAACATGGAGCAGGTGGGCTCAAGATTTGGGGATCAGGGCATCCCCCTGCACTTGGATGTGGCCATGTGGGGATGGGAATGTCCTCTGCCACGTCAGAATGGAGAACCTGTGCTGGGGGGATTCCCTGAGGGCACAGATCTGGGGATTTGAGGACAGGAATTAAACAGTGCAGTTGTTTAGTACTGGGGGAGGTCTCTTTCCCTGGCCTTGCAGCTCCTGGGAAGGCTGAGGGCTGCTCCCTCTGGAGCACGTGGAGCTTTTGGCCGTGTCAGGGCAGTTAAACCTGGTTTGAAAATCCGTGCCTGGATTGGAGCTGCTCTGGGACAGATGTGGGTGACACCTGAGGAGGAAACATCCCGCAGTGAGTCAGGGCTGTTTAGCTGAGCCAGAACACAGGGTGAGGCTTTCCAGCTAATAACCTCTGCTCCCATGGAATGTGAAGGCCCTGGAGTTCTCAACCAGCGATCAGCAGGAACAGGGAAGTGCTGCTGAGAACCTCTGCCACCTCCAGCAGTGATGGAGCAGCGTAAATCCTTCAGGGGGGAGGGAAAAAAACCAAACAAACCTGGAATAAAAAGTCTGATGCTGGAGTTACGAAATTTTCAGCTGGAAAAAAGGAAGTGACTTTTCTTCAGGGGAACTGCAGTGTGTCAGTGTTCAGCCCACAGGCTCAGCGTGCAGGGCTGGTTCTGCAGTGGTGGAGGGTTTGTTGCTTCCTACGAAGTGACTCTCCCTAAAGGAATTCTTCTGGGGCTGTTGGGAAACACATTCCCGGCCGTTCCACCACGAGGCTCCCACATGGCTGCACGGCTCAGACACTGCCAGCCACGAGCTGCTGGTGAAACAGGGGTGGGAACCAGCAGATCCCTTTCTATTTTGGGTCCCTGGGGAAGGGGAGGGATGAAACACAGATGGAAGGCACTGATTCATCTCACCAGGCTCATCCATGTGCAGTCTGGGGCCGTTATCCCTGGGGTCCTGGGGAGACTCTGTTACTACTCCATGACTAAGGATTTTTTCACCAATCCAGGTTTTTTTCCATGCTGTCACCACATCCTGATGCCTTTTACAGTCATTCTGATCTGTCTGCCCGTCACATCCTAAGGGATTCAGAGATTAATTTCGCTCATATCTATTATTAAGCCTTTTATTTAAAACTTCCTGATGTCTGTCTCCTGTAGCTGAACTGCCAGCAGCTATTTCAGTGTTTGCTTTCGGGGGTTCAGCTCAAGGTGGGAATTGGCAGGAGGGTCCCTCAGTGTGGATTTAAAGGAGTGGTGGAGAGCGAATCGTTATTTTTTTATTTCCCCTTCCCCAGGTTCAGACACAAAACTGCAGCACCCAAGTCTTTGGGGATCCACAGCTCTACATTATATATCGTGTGTATATATATATATATATACACATTAGATAAATGTAGATAAGTTAATGGGCTTCAGCAGTTTGGGAAGGTGGACAATTTATTTCCACACTCCCTGTGGCTGTTAAATGCTGTAATTTGTGGCATTTTCCCCATTCCTGTGAGTTCCAAACACACACCTGTGACCGGTGGTGTTCCAGGGACACACCTGACCCCACAGTGGCCCCTCTAAGTCCCCATCCCGGGCAGCCTCAGCTCTCCAGCTGCTGTTTCCAGAGGGGTGGGAATGTCACCTCTGGGACAGAACAAAGAGCTCTTCAAAGCTCCAGGGCTGCTGCTGAGCCGGGTTGTGCCCACAGAGGCTTTGTCATGCAGCCACAAAACCCAGCTTTGAACCCAATCCATTTGTTTTACAATGATCTGAGCCGGGGCCACAAGCACCTGCTCCTCACTCCTACTAATCTTCTCATTAACTCTTAATGAGGGCCCGGAGCTATTTAGATGGTGTAGATATCATGGAATTCAACTAATCCACTTGAATGCAGTGGAAGTTCAGAATTAATTAAAAATGTGAAAGGCAAGAAAATCCACCTTGGGCCAGCACGAAGCAGGAGCTGCTTTATAGAGTTAGTTCAGAGTCAGGGCTCAAGCCATGGAGATGTTTGTCCATGGAACACAGCTGGGAAGAGCCCTGGAGGGAAACCCACGTGGAATCTCAAAAACTGTTCAGCCTAGGGAAAGGGGAACAGGTACACACTTACTCTGGGGACCTACCACCCTATGGAAGACAGTCCAGGTACAGTTGGCAGTTTTCATTTATTCAGCTTAAACAAAGATATCTTTTAAAAAAATAATCAATAAATAAACCAGACATCACCAAGGAGACACCGCATCAAGTGGAGAACCCTCAGGAACATCAAGCAGAGCTCCCAGCACAGTGTAGGGCCGCTCTCCACAGCACAATGGAGGACACTGTGCACGGCCCACAAACAACACAGGCTGTTCCCTACAAACCCCGGGGGTTTATAATGCCCTATTCATGGATGTGGGATTTGTCACTCTCCACACAAAACACCACTGTTGTATCCAGGGCTTTGTACCTTGTTTGCCGCCGCTGGCAAAAGTGCTTAAAATCATTTATCCAATCTTACAGCAAGAGGGGAGCTCCAAAGCAGCAACAATCCCTTGGGAGCAGGATGCTGGAGGGATAAATCCATACCGGCAGAAGCAGAGCCCACCTGGCCCCCAGGAGTTCCAGGACAGGAACTGTCCAAGAGGAGCTGGTCAGGTGTGTTCAGTTCACAGAGTCACAGGATGATTTGGGTTCAAAGGGGCCTTAAAACCCATCTTATCCCTCCCCTGGCCACAGGCAGGGACACCTCCCACTAGCCCAGGTTGCTCCAAGCCCCGTCCAACCTGGCCTTGGACACTTCCAGGGATCCAGGGGCAGCCACAGCTTCCCTGGGCAACCTGTGCCAGGGCCCCACCACAGTCAGGAATTCCTTCCCAATATCCCATCTAACCCTACCCTCTGTCAATGGGAAGCCATTTCCCCTTGTCCTGTCCCTCCAGGCCCTTGTCCAAAGTCTCTCTCCAGCTCTCCTGGAGCCCCTTTAGGCACTGGAAGGGGCTCCAAGGTCTCTTCTCCAGGCTGAACACCCCCAGCTCTCAGGTGAAGCTGAATCTGCCAATCCCAATCCCTTTCCCATTGATTACTAACCAGAATCCACTACAGATGGAATATATTCCATCAGACATTCCAGCTTCCCAGTTCCCTCTGCCCTGTCACAAACCACATTTGGGGGTTTTGTGTCAGAAAACAATTAATTATCCTGAAAACCAAGTTATCAGCTAAAGTGCAGGAGCCCTGCAGTGAGAAGCCCACATCCATCTTTAGACTGGGAATCCAGCACAGCCCATAAGGATCCTCCCCTACCCACACAAACAGTAACAAATCCAGCCTTGGAAAACAGTGCCTATAAAACTTCCACCAGCACTTCTGTGAGGTGTCATGGAAGGAACAGAACAAAGGCCTGTTCTGTGTCAGTAATTCTGCATAAGAGAAGCCTCATCCCTTCCCAAGCTCCATCACCCTTCCACCAGCACAGGCAGCAGGACAGTCCCAGGGGCTGTCCTTTGGCTACCGAGAAAAGAAGCACAAACCTTTAGAAAAATACAATGCAAGAAAAAATTTGAGATAAAAATATATACCTTTGGTTAAAAACCATCCCTTTAACGAGTCCTTTGTAACTCAGCTAGAACAGAAAAGCTTCACCTCGACTCAACAGCAGTAAAAATTAGTTCTAAGCTTTTTTTTTCCCCCTAAAACCCAGAGGACCCTTCTAAAACCTCATTAATTTGTTTTCCCGGGATTTACACATTTGATGTTCATTATTTATAGGGATCATTATATTTGCAGCCATAAACTAGATAAGTTTTCCACGAAGAGAATGTTTGGAGCACAAGCTCCTCCACCAACAGTCTTTTACCACCTGGAAGTTGTTAATTAAAGAACCGTTGAAACATGTAGTTTTCCTCAGATACCAAGTAGCCAAACTTCTTGTAGAAATCCACGTTTTTGGGCAGACATTCCAGCGTGATTTTGTAACAGTTCAGTCTCTTACTTAGCAAGGTGAGGGTGGATATTAATCTGGGAAAGACAGAAACCAACAGTTAAACGTTGGGTCAGTGAACATTTAATTAAATTATCACAGTGACAGCACTGAGGTCTGACAGCACTGACAGCACTCTCTGCGTTTTCCAGTGGATCATTTTATTCCCAACTGGTGATCCCTGCTGGCTAAATTCTTCCCAGCTCCCTGGCAGGGTGGATCTGCCCTGCAGGAAGCTGTAAGTCCATTCACCTGCTGCTGAATGGAAAAGGTGGGGGAATACTCACAGTTTTCCAAGCTGCTTCCCCCTGCACTCCCCGCTGACCACCACGTCTTCTATCCTCCCTCTCTGTGGAAACACAGCCAAGGGTTAGGACTGGAATTCCTCTTCCAGCTTCCCACCACGGGATCCAGGTGTGGATCTCCAGCTCAGCTCCCTGTTTTCTGGCTGGGATTCCCAACAGGGAGATCCTTGTCCACCTGCTCCACCAGAACCACGTCTGACTTGTGCAGAAGCTCACTTTTTTTTTTAGGGAAGGGAGAACAGGACAGACTTCCAAATGCAGTTTTCCCTCAGGAAAAGCCCAAGTTTTCTTTTACTGTTAGCTGAGCACCCAAATGAGAGATATTTTTAAAATGCAGAAAATACTTGATGTTTTTAAATATATTTTTAAAAATATTTACATTTTTAAGGTTGGAAAAGCCCTCCAAGACCACTGAGTCCAATTGAGTCCAACCATCCCCCAGCACTGCCAAGGCCACCACTGACCCACGTCCCCAAGTGCCACATCCACATGGCTTTGAAATCCCTCCAGGGATGGGGACTCCACCACTGCCCTGGGCAGCTGTGCCAGGGCTGGACAACCCTTTCCATGAGGAAAATTTTCCTGATATCCAACTTAAACCATCTCTGGCACAACTTAAGGCCATCACCACACCGTAACACCATAAAAACACCCAGTCCAGAGCCAGGGACAGGATTTTTTCCTCCCTTTCCAGCTGCAGTGACAGGATTTACCTTGGCACAGGAGTGAGTGAATTTATGTTCTATAACCAGTGTTGCTGTAGCAACGATCTGTCCAAGGTTTGTGTCCTCCACGACGGTAACGTAATAATCTCCCGATCTCTTCATGTGCTCGAAGGTTTCTGTGGGAGCAGAGAGTGGAACAGACAATTTAGTCTCAGATTAAACTGCAGGTAAGTCTGACACTTGCAGCACATTCTGACTGCAGATTATTGTGGGATCACAAAGAAGATGCACTCAAGACCCCAGAACCTGAAAGCCCAGGAGTCAGACTAACCCAAAATAAAGCACAAATTAAAGTGAGTTCCTCTTCCTCAGGTGCCCAGAGATCCCTCCTTCCTCAGTGTCTCTGGGCTCTAACAGAATCCCAGACTAACTTGTGTTGGAAGGGACTCAAAGGCCATTTCACTCCAGCCCCTCCATGGGCAGGGACACCTTCCACTAGACCAGGTTGCTCCAAGCCCCATCCAACCTGATCTTGGACACTTCCAGGGATGGGGCAGCCACAGCTTCTCTGGGCAACCTGTGCCAGGGCCTCACCACCCTCACAGGCAGGAATTTCTCCATGGAAAGGGTTGTCCAGCCCTGGCACAGTTGCCCAGGGCAGTGCTGGAGTCCCCACCCCTGGAGGGATTTCAAAGCCATGAGGATGTGGCACTTGGGGACATTGTTTAATGGTGGCCTTGGCCTAGATCCTGTGATTCCCTGCATCCCTGGCTGCTTCCCCAGTGCCTGCTCACCAAGGAGTGGGATCTAAAAGGGTCCTGAACTGGGCCCCAAGGGAGCTGGAGAGAGACTCTGGACAGGGGCCTGGAGGGACAGAACAAGGGGGAATGGCTTCCCACAGCCAGAGTGAAGGGTTAGATGGGATATTGGGGAGAAATTCCTGACTACGAGGGTGGGGAGGCCCTGGCACATTTTGGCCAGAGAAGCTGTGGCTGCCCCTGGATCCCTGGAAGTGTCCAAGGTCAGGTTGGATGGGGCTTGGAGCAACCCAAAATCAGCCCAAATAACTCATGCCAAGTATCTTAAGCTCACTCTCAAAAGCAGGTTCACAATTTAGGCCTGTCCCAGCCAAGCAGCCCTCAGGGATCGCTGCAGCTGGATCCAAGGCTGAGTGCCAAAGGCTGCCTCAGGGGAGCTGAGCTCATCACTCCCTCTGGCATCAGGCAGTCAAAGCCTCACTCCCAGGCAGCTTTGCTGCCAGCATCAGAATCCTCTGGTTCCCAAAAACTTCTGTGGAAATTCCAAGGAATAATGATATACTCACTGATAAACTGCTCCGGGCTCGCAACTCCGGTTTCCGTCAGCTGACCCAGAACCTTGAAAAAGCCTGTTGGAAAAGAGGGGGGAACAATAAACCCTCAGAGAGGGACAGACACACACAGCTCTAAATGACACCCAACAGCCTGTCTGGAGAGTTACCACCCCATGAAGCCCCCACCCTGGGCAATGCTGAAGGATCAGCTGAAGCATCGGAGCAAACTGCAGCTTGAGTGCAGAAGGTGCAAGAAAAGGATAACCCTGGAATTATGTGATATTCAGCCGTATGTCCAAAACAACTTTTTTGTCCAAATTGCAGAACTGAAGGAGAATTCATGCACCAAGATGCCAGTTCATGTTGCTCTGGTATTAAAGGGAACAGCATGAACAATCGTGCTCCCTCTCTAAAGCCGTGGGGAATAGGAAGTTGCGGAATGTTTGATTTAAATTTAAGATTAAAACAGCAAACCAAGTTTTCAGGGTCACCCAACACAGCACCAATCCACGGTGCCAAGTGCTCAGATTCAGGGCAGTGGTCATGGCCCCGAACCTCCCATTTGGACAAGGCTCTCAAGGCACATGGTGGGATTGCTGGGGTGTTGTTGGACTCAATGATCCCTGTGAGTCCCTTCCAACTCAGGATGCCCCACGACTCCATGAAATCTCTTACTGAACGAAAACAACCCAAATCAGGGAGAACGAGCGATCCCAAACAATAAGTATTTGAGCTCATGCACAAACACACATCATTGACTCGGTGGTGATCAAACAGGACCCTACCTCGGTTTAAATCAGCTGTGCAGAGCGGCCTCAGGACCAGCCCATCCCCCGGATTCAGCGGAGAAATAGCGGGAGAAAACGTCGTCGTGTTCTCGCTCCAGTCCAGCTCGTGCAGGATCCTCGGGTCAAACATGGGCGCGTCGTCGGGCAGCACGGCGGCCACCGGCATCATGGCTGCAGCAGGGGATCTGCAACACAACGGGCACGGGACGCTTCGGTTTGCTCTCGCCTCTTGGGTTTGTTTCCTGCGGTTGTGGCACGCCCCGGGATGCTCCTCGGGGATGTAAGGAAAGGTGAATAAACTGCTGTTGGCCTTTGGTGCAGCTGAAGCTCCTTGACCTTCACTCAGTGGGCAAACTGCACTTCACTGGGCAAACACAGAGCGCCCGGACACCGCGCACGTCACCGAGTCGACACGCGGCGCTTCGGTGTTTATCTTGGAAAAAACGACCTGATAAGGCACCGAGCAGGATATTTAAACTCTGCAGCCCTCTGAATGGGAAGGGATCACTCCCCAAGAAACCTCCCAACATCCTCTTCAAAGATCATTTGCATTCCTGTTCACCGGCAGCAGGAATAATGCACTTTTTCCAAGCGGCCCCATCCCATAAATATTTAATCTCTTGGGCACGAGGCGCCACAACCCAGAGCTGAGAACGCAGGTGATGCCACAGTTCCAGCCCAAAGTGCCCCTCCCAGGCTGTCCTGTTTGCTCCAGGGGTTTACAGAGCCCAGCTGCCGAGCAGTGTCCATGAACAGGGAAAACACAAGTGCCAAGGTGATGGTGACACCTGTTAATGATTAAAGAGACTTGGGAGCTGGGCTTTATTCAGAGTAACAGGAAGCAGAGGGATATTATTTTCCTTGCTGAGTTCGAAGCCAGGTTGGATGGGGCTTGGAGCAACCTGGGACAGTGGAAGGTGTCCCTGCCCACGGCAGGGGGGTGGAACTGGATCTTTTTAAGGTCCCTTCCAACCCAAACCAGTCTGGGATTCCATGATACAGGAAAACACTTCTTCCTTGGTCACCTGTGGAACACCTGGTCAGGGTTCTGGTACGAGCAGAGGTCATGGGAACTTCTCCTCAGACCAGTGTCTTTTTACATCCCCAGAATTCCTCAGCTGCACCATAAATGGTACAGGACCCACACACCAGTGGACAGGCCAAATAAACATCAGGAACAAAAATGTATTTGGGATGACACTTTTTACAATAAGACACCTCCCAGCCCTGTTAAGCTGTAAGAAAGTACAAAGGTTGTTACACATAAAGCATGACAGCCTAAGTGCAGCACAGGAGCCTCAAAAGTGAAAGTGGCTCCGGAAATCCAACTGAAAAAAAAGATTCTCAAAATAAACGCCAACGCTAAATTTTAAATTTAATCTTTTTAAATCCCAGTTCTTGTCTTAATTTTGCATATGAAAGTTAAAAAATTGCTGTTGTAGCGATTAAACAGCAACACAAACTCTCCTACTGCGTGAATTTCGGGAAAGGTGAAGGGCAAAGAAAAACATTTCTACAGATATCTCTGTTCCTAGAGCTCGACTATCTCAATATTGCTGTTCCTCTGCTCTCCTACAAGACCTTCCTTAGAATTCCCAAGTGCCCATACCAGCATCCAAACAGTGCCCTGCACAGAATAAAACAAACCTCATAAATTCCAGCTCAGGGTTTCAGCACACCAGGCTCAAAGGGCAGGGGAAGAAATAAAATCTGTGATGCTCTTTGAGCAATTAGTGATAAACTAAGAGTTATTTTCCAAACTGCTTCCGGCATAGCTGGAGCAGGACGGAGTTGGAAGCTTCACACATTTTCTGGAGGGAGGAATATGACTTAGATTAATGCCAATTAAAAATTAAATAAAGGATTAGTGTACGGTGAGGAATAAGAGCTCTGGCCTTTGGGTCGTGCTGGTGCACAGTTGGAGTCTCCCTGGAGCATCCTGGGATCCCCAGTGTGTGTTGGGAGCGGGAGAGGGAGGGAGAGGGAGCAGGGTATGCCCAGGGACCCTGGGGGGGTCAGTGGGTGCTTGGCCAGGACTCTGCCAGCTCCCCAGTTTTGGGGGACAGGGTGACAGAGCCACCAGGGACTCCACCATGTGTGGCCCCTCAGGGGGTCCCCACAGCTCCCCTCAGGTGAGGCAGGACCCCAACACACAACCGACCCCTCAGGGGGGGTCCCCTCACCCCACACACAGAAGTTCAGGGGGCCCCTAGACCCCCTCATCTCACAACCAGCCCTTCAGAGGGGGTGCCCTCACCTCACACACATCCCCCCACCTGCCCTCACGCCATACACGGCCCCTCGGAAGGGTCTCCACAGTTCCCCTCAGCAGCCCCTTGGGGCAGGAGCCCACACACAACCTCGTATGTCCCCTCAGAGGGGTCCCCTCACCTCACACACAAGACCTCAGGGGGTCCCAAGACACTCTCACCTCACACGCAGCCTTTTGGGGGGTTCCCTCACCCCCCACCTCTGACCTACAGACCCTCGGGGGAATCTCACACCCCCTCACCCCACACGCAGCCCCTTGAGGGGCGTTCCGCACCCCTTCACACCCCATACGACCTCTCGGGGGGAGGGGGTGGCGGTGGTGTCCCCTCACCTCACACACAACCCCTCAGGGGGGTTCCCACACCCCCTTACCCCGCACACAGTCTCTCGGAGGGGTCCCCTCAACTCACACGCGGCCTTTTGGGGGGGGTTCCCTCCCACACCCCCCGCGCCCACACTCAGCCCCTC